AATGGCTTAGAAATGAAGGGAATACATACTTAGGGAGGGGTGTGTATGGCCCAACATGGGTGTATGGCCATACAGTCATGTGTATGGTCGTACACTCCCTCATATGGAGTGTATGGTTGGATTTTGGTGTTTAAAGTGTACGCGATCTAATCCTTTACTCAATGCTTGAATGTAGTGAGCTTTTAACCTTTGAACGGACTCTAAAAAAGGCTAAATGATAGCAGGAACGAGTCTGACACTTAGTTGAGCTGACTGGTTGAACTTTCAAAGCAAAAAATTATCGGGTTGTCACACAGGATCTTGATACTATCAATGAACTCAAGGATCTTGCCAAGATCTGCATCGGTGCCCATCAACAAAGGATCACCAAAACAAACAACAAGAATATCAAAGTCAAAAGATTCCACATAAGAGAATTATTCTTGAGGAAAGCATTCCAAATTACCAAGGATCCTAATACAGGTAAATTGGCACCTAAATGAGAAGGACATTAAAAGCTTGGAAAACAACACCATCGGAAAAAGCTCCAACTGATTTCAACGACTCGATATCATCGTCATCAAATGAACATATTTTGTTATAAGACAAGATCTTTTTATCAACAAAATCATCCTCAGAAGGAGCAAGAATGTTCTTTCGAGATAGAGTCATTTGCTTGTCTGTGTTCCAAGAAATGAAAATTAAGGAGAAAAAGTGAGAAGTATACCTTCTGAGATGAATGATAAACCATGGATGAAAGCTAAAGGGTGTGAAGAAGAACAACTCGGACCATTCACCTATATTATTTTTGGTAACAGAGGATAGAGAAGTTGATTTGATAGGGCAATGGTGGTTTTGGAATGGATAAATTCCATCTGTTAGGGTTTAAAATTCAAATTTTTTTTATCTCTTTCATTTATTAATTTTAAATTATACATTTAAATACAGAAAAACTAACCTCAATATTTCACAGGTATAATTTGGGGGCCATTGTTAGGGTAAGGATTCTTAATCATATTCAGGATCCTCGAATACTTCTGAAACCTCAGGATCCTTAAATATTTCCCAGGATCCTCACTATTACCACTAATATTTCTAACACTTGTAATAGTTATTTTTTATTTATTTTTCTCACATGTGCAGAACGAGTCAACACAATACCCATTCTCAAAAGAGAGTCATCTCAACTAGGCAAAAGACCCGAAATACCAAGTCAAATATTGTTCATAGGCTGATTCTAGAGGATCTCGGAATTATCAGACTTCTTGTTATGTTAGACTATAAATAGCACATTTAACTAGCACACTAAGCACACATTTAGCTTATATACGACAATTGTACTTGCATTCATACATTTATCTTTGTATTCAACATTTTATATCAATAAGATCATCAAGATAGGTGACCATTATCACCTCCCATGGTTTATGTCGGAGATCCTATCAAAGATCATGGGTTTTCCTTGTAACTCACTTGTACCATTTCGATAATTATTTCACATTGGATTTAGTAAGAACATCATAGCCTCTCATACAATTTTGTTGAATTCTACTTCATCATTTTTTGACTAAAATAAGAAGTTTAACCTTATTGACCCTCTTGAGAGTAATACGATTGGCATGTCTTCTGATGGTTAGGTTTCTATTCGATTTTAATCAGATAATCTAGGTGTGTGGTTCTTGAATTATCACTTGGAAATGCATACATATGAATATGTGTTAGTATGTTAGAACTGAAAATGAGGGAACACCACTCACCTGCGATTACAATACCAGGGAAAGGGAAAACTAATCTAGGGCTACGAGAGAGAGAGAGAGAGAGAGAGAGAGAGAGAGAGAGGGAGAGAGAGAGAGAGAGAGAGAGAGAGAGAGATGGGGATAAAAAAATTAAATTGAAACTCTAGATTCAAATGTGGAGTGTGTGTGTGTGTGTAACTGTGTGTTTGATCTTTAAAGAACATAAATATGGTTTTTGGCTGGGTAGTTTTTTTTAAGAACCTGGTTTGTAGGGTCTCATTGTACGTGTAATCTAATAGCAAAGTAGCAAAATTTTAGAATTTTTTCCTAATTTGCAGATGATCAATGAGGAAGAAGAGAGAGATAGAGAGAGAGAGAGAGAGAGAGAGAGAGAGAGAGAAAGAGTAACAAAGAGAGGGATAGAGAGAGAGAGAGTACGACGGTGGTAGGGTGGGATTTTTTTAAAAATTAAAATAACATTAAAATAATTATAGAAAATAGGAAAAAAGAAATTAAAAAAGCATAACCGTCTTTTCAAGTTTTTTTGGAACAAAATTATAGAAAATTCTTGACTTTAGACATTTCATACAAGTTAGAAAGTTTTTGGATCCTATGTATTGTTTTTTGAACACCATAGGAACCAAATTTATAGTTTTGTCTTTTTAGTTTAACAAGAACATTTATGTAGACTTGAAAACAAGTAATTACTAGACTTGAAAACAGATAAGTACATGTATGCTCCAAGAAGAGGACACGTAAACATTTCTATGTTTTCAATCTTCTAAATATCAAATAGTCTACAAAAGAAATGTATATGTGTTATATATGTGATGCAGACAAACAATATAATGAAACTCTTATTGAAAATATAAACATTAGAAAAACTTAGCCCTCAATTGGATCATTGCTTCTTGTGCCACATACTAAGAAACGATGTGGTCGTAACACTGGAGATGGTGTGCACGACCGTGGCAATTTGCCGTCTCACCAGAAGTGGTGCGCACGATAGTAACAATCTGCTATCTAAGCCACAAGACGGTTCCATGAAAACCATATCATTAGGCCTTAAAACACTTTTAACAACTTGTTTTATAAAACCAATTACAATCCTATATTTTAATTGATTTAGGCCCTACCTCCTCTTGCCCGCCCCTTTCATCCCTCTGTCCAACTATATGACTATACGAGTGACCCCTCCACCTCCTATTGTATTCTCCACCATCATTTTCACTCCATCGTTAGCATTACCATACAAAAAAGCTAAGCGGCGCATCTTGTTGCCCGTTTATCATCTCATTTTATTGTACGATGATAATTAAATGGATTTGGATTTGGTTAACAAACAATCTATGCAAGTGGTACACAACCAACCAATCAGGTATTATAAATGTAATTTACTTAAGGTATAATCAGTAAATTAACTGTAAAATATGAGAGTTCGCATTTTTTATAACTAACTTTGCAAAAATGATAAACATGTCCGAAATTGATCTAATATTCCACAAAAATCATATATTATATCAAACGTACTTCTTTTCATAAAAATTAATTTTATTTTGGATTTTGGGTTTTTCGGTCTAAGCATGTCGTACTAACTTTATGTTATATCAAACATATTTTTTTTTTATTTTTTCAATTGATTTTGTCTTTATTTTTAATCCAACTTTTTTTTTTAATTTAAACTAATGTAATTATATAGTATTTATATAAAAAAAATTAAAAACGAAAAAGAAACAAATAAAATAAATAAAAGACGAATACCGTCATTAAAAATGTTCAATCTCCTATTTAACGTGGAAGAGCTTTAAAAAATTGCAATTAAACATAAAACAAAGGCACATGAACACAAAATTACAACACAATCAAAAGTTATACTAGATTAGTGTTTCCACACTCCGAAGCTACCAAATTTGTAAGGAAGCACACACGAATGTTGGGTACGGAAGTAAACAAGAATATAAGGACAACTGGAAACATGAACCGTACAAGTCGACATCAACCCTCGCTGGGGGACTCCATGCACTTCACTTCTTTTAACTAATTTATATTTTCCAAGATTCCACCCCACGCCCAATTTTTTATACTTTTGTCATCTTATTTTATTTTAAAGAAATCTTCAATAAATTTTTTAATATGTTGAATGAGTTTACGGTTTACTTCAAGTTAATGTTTGTTTATTAAAAAAAAAACATTTTATCGGCTAAAACTTCGAAATGACATTTCGTGACTGGTTTCACAAATTTAATCAATATTACGTATTTTTTTGTTAATTATCAAAATTTTAGACTTTTTTTACCTTATTCATAAAAGTTGTGAGGCTTTTTCGTTATTTTTTACCAATAACTAAGAGGTGTAAACGTGAGTTTGCTTTCTAGGAAGGTAAGCATCTTGATTTAGCAGATTATCTTAGACAAAATTCATACTAGATTTAATTTGTCGTCTAAGGTTATTGACATTCAGTTTATTATGTGCCCTATCTGTGATAACTGATAAGCATGTTGAACAACTTTCACATCTTTTTGTTAAATGTGAAGTTGTTGCGAGAATTTGGGATGAAGGTTTTCTTTGGCTAGAGTTGGATCGTGTGGATCTTAATTCTATCAACGATTTGATTACTCTAATTAATAATCTTCCGTGCAACTCTAGAAAGAAAGTGATTGTTGATGCCATTGTGTGTGATATAATTTGGTACATTTGGAAATTCAAAAATAATGTGGTGTTTCAACCTGGGAAGATTCGTAAAAGAGATATCATAGATTCCATAAAAGATCTTTCTTTTTTGTGGTTCGTTAATAGAAATTATCAGGTTTCTTTAGATTTGATTATGTGGTTAAGAAACCTTTTAACTTTTTGTAATGTTTTTCTAGCTTCTTGCTAGTTCTTTTTATATAATTGCTGTTGTTTAAAAAAACTAAAAAGTAATTTATATTATAGACAAAATTGCAAATTTGGTCCCTGTGGTATGTCCAAACTAGCATGTTTGGTCCAAAATGGGTTTGGCTTGCAAAGATGGTCCAATAGTTTCTATTTGTTGCGAGTTTAGTCCAATGGCTTAACAGCCGTTACCAAGCTCCCATTAATTTACCCATGCCCCTCTCACTTAAGGGTATTTTAGTCCATTAATCCCAGTAACCGTTCCCGCTAAAGCTCAATAAAAGCAGTTCGTTTCCTCCTCAATAAAGTAGACCGTCGTTCTTTACCAAGATCAATAAAATCCCTAGACACAAAATCAGTTATGTTAGTTAAGCTGCGATTTGTAGAGATTATCGGTGGATGAACATAACAATGTGGCACGTAAGGTTGTTAAACACACCCTTCAACCCCAAGGTTGTTTATGGTACCTAATTTGCCCTTTTTCATCTTTTGATTTCTTGATTTTTTTTAAGTAAGTCCAACTGAGGTGTTTTTTTTCTTGTTTTGAAGATGGACACCCAACATTGTTTACCATTAAGTTGTACCATGGAGGTGAGTTCACCAAGTACCCTGATGTTCGTTACATTGATGGAACTGTAAACTATGTTGACATGGTAGACATAGATGAGTTTTCAGTTCATGAGCTCGATGCAATCATGAAGGGTTTTAGATATGGGTTTCCTCCTGTCATATACTACCATTTTCTTGTGCCTGGTGGAGACTTCCACTTTGGTCTTCGCCCTTTAGGAAATGATCAAGATGTTGCAAACTTTTCTCAATATGCCAGTGAGCACAAAGTGATGAAGGTATACACAGAGTGTAACGTCCGGGTTTCTGGGCTAAGCATTTTGTCAATGTAATAGTCTAGGTCAACTCTTGTAACTCTTTTTGAAGTAATAAAGATGAAATATTTGAGTATTAAGTGAATTATGTGTGTTTATGTGTTTTATTTAATTATAAATATATAATTAATAAAGAATAAAAATGAGCGTCAAAATTAAAGTGTGAGATAATCCCGATATCTCTACATAAAGTTGTAGAATATGTCTCAAGGTTTCCGTGCATATAAGGAACACCGAAATCCGAGTTATAACGAAGAAGTTATGACCCGTTGAAGTTTCACGACAAAACCGGCACAATACCGGGAAGCGTGAATAGTGAATTTACGATAGAGCAAGATTTAGCCTTAGTGATCTAAACGAAAGTCGTAGAATATGTTAAACTAAGAACATCGATAAAAAGAACGCCCAAATCTGACTTCGTATGAAGAAGTTATGAGATTTTAAACAGACCAATCCAGTCCCGGCCTGTTAAAAATATAACTTTAAAAATAAAGTCAAAATTAGCCGACGGAGTCTAAACGAAAGTTGTAGAGTACGTCTCCACCTACGCGTGGATATAAAGAACATCAAAAACGGAGTTCGTATGAACGAGTTACAAATTATAATAGCATATTTACGTATTAAAATAAAGTATAAATCATGTATACGTACACATACACACACACACACACACACACATATATATATATATATATATACATATGTATATATCATTAGAAAGGTATCGACGATGCGGTCATTATAAGACTAATGTTGAGTTCTTTCGACATTAGTTTAGTACAGATATCATTAAATCCATTTAAAATAGTATTATAGAGGGGTGTTTAGTTATTTATATAACTAAAAGGTCATTAAGTAATTATAGATGGTAGTTTTTGAAAATTCAATTAGTATAAATAAGAGCCTTGGGCTCTCATATTTCTTGCACCATTCTCTTGATTCAAGAGTCTTTCTCTCCTTATCCCCCGAGCATTTCGGTCCCTCGTGATTCGACTTCTATTTCTGTAGTTTAGTATAGTAAGGTGAGCGCTGAAGCGCTGCACGAATCTTTCTTAGAAAGATTCAGCGACGAAGTTCTGCCCCTGCAGAGCCCGACTCCTACCTAAAACCCCCTTGCAAGTAAGTTATGCTTACCTTATTTTAATATAGCTTATATTTAAAATTAGTATTGTCATTATGAACTTATAATAAATACTTGGACTATTAATATGGGTTATATAAGTATTTTTTTTAACGCTTATATAATAATAGTAATAGCTAGACCATTAATTAGTCTCGGCGAATAATAGACTAAACTCTAGTGGTAATAATACTAGGTTTCATCGAAGAAAATTCTATTTATGAAGCGAAGCACTGTCTGAGTTCGGAATCACCACCTTTTCAAGTGAGTGCATAGTTACTTTCATCTTACACATAGATATGAAGTATTTTATATATTACGTGCTATGTGTGCATATTATCTGTATACTTGTTATCTATGCTGGATGAATGTTTTTATACAAGTTTTAAATGATTTAAACTGTATATATGTATTTTATATCTACAAAAATGTTGGGGTAAAACATGGGTAGATGTAATAAGACGATGTGTGATAAAATGATGAGAGGCCTCGATGTTGTTGTTGTTGATCCAGTCATCTAGCGGAGTATAGATGACGACCACGGACTCTTCTAGACAGTCCAGTGGAACACTAGCAGGCTCGCAACCTGTAGGTGTTGTGAACGATGTGTTCACTGGTGTAGTCCATCCCCCACATGGTTGCCTATTAGGACATTTATTGCTGAGGAATCCCCTTAGCAGTAGTGTCCATCCCGATGATGATCCTTAGGCTAGGTCCCTTATGATAGGTGTTTAGGGACGTAAAGTGAGGATAACGGGAACGGGTAATCGGGTTATTGTTGATTGATGAAATTAATAAACTTATTTATTGTGGGTTGAAAACCCTATGTGCTCACCAGGCTCCCAAGCCTGACCCACTAGTTTTATGTATTACAGGTATGGCGCATGAGCATAGGTGTGATGTTTTGGACGAGGGATTACGGATATAGGCCTGTAGATATGAAATAATGTAGTAAGGCTTATATTGTACTGTTTATACTTTCGATCTGTACGAACATGACATCCCGAGTCTTTTAATGAAATACATTTCTATGGAAATGCTTTTGATAAATCTTTATCATATTATTGTTTTGGGACAAATTCCGCAACCCTTTTATTAAAAGATAACTATGATTTTGAAATAAAGTATAAACAAAACCGGTATTTTCTGGCCGTGATTTTGGGGATGTCACAGTTGGTATCAGAGCATTAGTTTAAGCGAACTAGGAATTTGTAGGATTTCTAGACTTAAACTTAGAATGCTAAGCGATGATTGTGAGGTGTGAGTACTAGCTTATTTTAGGAATTGTGCCTAAAATGCTTTTATGTGCTAAATGCTTTATGCATGATATGCTGTTATTTTGTTCGGATCTATGGTCTGTTGCCGACCGGATCTGGAAACCTTATGTGTTTAGGATTCTAAACGTACGACTACGATATTAGAACTAGCATGTAAACATTTCGGAGTGATAAGGACGATTTAAACGTCTATCCTAAATAAAGATCTAAATTCACCTTATTCGGTGTATAGATCAAGATGGCAAGGACCCGTAGTGGAAACGTGAACGCGAATGGAGGTAGGAACCAACCCCTATTGATCGAGAAAATACCAGTTGTGGAAGCTGCTGCCGGACCAATAACGATGGCCGGAGTGCAAGCGATGATCCAGGCAATGTTGGATCGTCAAATGGAGGAAACCAGGCGTTTGCTCCATCAAAATCGAGAGGAAGTGACTATTCAGATCGAACAGCCCGAGTTGAACGAAGGGCAGACTGAAGAAGGAAACTACAGTGGGACTATTGGTCAAGCCAACCCACCGATAGTTAGGCAAAACCACCAGGATGGAGGAAATGATGGACGTGGATGCAAATACAAGGATTTCATGGCATCCAAGCCACTGAGTCTATCTGGAAGCC